ACAAAGTTCTTTTTTTTGTGCAGCTGTAAGAGACTTTCATTTTTTTTTAAAGGTTCATCTTGTTTGTTAGTAGTTTGATTAAGTTGTTTCTTTGAGTTTACTTTTGGTATTATTGGCATTATTCAAAGAAAAAAAAAACATGTAAAAAAATAAAATATGTAAAAAAAAAATATGAAACACAAGACAACATGTAACGTGAATATTTATTCATTTTTTAATTTCATTTAAAACTACATAATTTTATATACATAAATCTAGTAAAGTTCATTTTAAGCAAAACTTCGTTGTATCAAAAAAAAATTCGTTATAGAGAAAATTAGTTATAAAAAGAATTATTTTATATATAAATTTTTCTGATATTAATTCATTAAACGTAATATGAATTTTTAATTACTAAATTCGGTATAGTAAGGGTTTTTTAATAATAGGATCTGGCGGTCCTAGCTTAGCGGTAAAACGCTAAGCCCTATTGTAGGTTATATTGCGATAGACCCTAGTTCAGCTTCTAGCCAAGGCAGATCACAACAAATTAAGTTTGCAGGATTTACTGGTTTGATTCTGGGAATGAATATCATAGGGTATGTATATACGATATACGTTGAAGATCACGAATTTGTAGAATATAGTGACCCTGAAATGTCTATAAGGTGTAATGGTAGTTACCACCAAAAGGTGTAAGTTCACTTCGTCTAGATCCATACTATCCTGACAACAGGTAGTGGTAATAGATATTTTCACCTATCGTGAACCAATTGAGTTTAGAACTGATAGTGAGGCTGGTCTGTAATAGACAAGTGCACATCATCTACAAAGGGTATCTGTGAGGGTAGGATCAATGGTAGGTACTGTATAACTTGGATTGAACAAAAAGTCGCAGGTTATAGGTGGTTGATATTGCAGTGTCTTCAATCATCATGATGCCTATATCACAACTAGGATTTTATGGCCGGAGTTCGATTCTCTGGGTGATTTTGACGTATGGTGAGGCAACTATGGTGTAGGCTATCATTTTAGGTTATTCTTGACCCTAATTTCCAGTAGTTGTGATGAATATACGTGATGACGGGTACCATGCGCACTCCCACACGGGTTTGTGATATGGCAGTTTACTCAGTATTTGACAATCATATATTTAGGACTCGTATACTCACACTGGGCTTAAAAGTGTCAAAGGAGAGTAACAGTGCTTCACCACAAATAAGTCGTATAGCTACTTGTGAGTACTGCATACTATGTAAGCATCAGCGCGAACCTAGTAAAGCAATAAAAAAAAGGGTTTTTTTATATTTAAAAATCTGTCTGACACTGAAAATCTGTTGTATTGTAAAATTCATTATATCAAAATTTGTTATAGAAAGAGTTGACTGTAGTTGCATAAATTGTATAAAATGTTCACCATTGATCTGCTGTGAAGTTAGAAAAACTTTTTCTTCAGTCGATTTTTCGAGAAATTCTATCCAAATTGGCTGGAATTTGAATCTGATTCATATTCCTTTGGATACTTTTAAAGGCATCTGAAGTTAAAACCTTCTCATTGATCCAAATTCGTTTAACTATCCATTTCGCTATGCCTAAAAATAGACAATACATTGGGTTGACCATTAAAAAATGAATTGGATCAAAATATGGTAAACGAAGTAACTCAGACTATCTGACGTCAGTATGCTTTACAAATCGCTTTCTGTCAGCGTCCGAATTGCACTTTCGCCAGCCAAGTACATCTTCTTGATGTTGTGACAAATCCCAGGGAGTAAACCATTCGTTCATATTACTTATTCTAGCAAAATTATGTTGCCAATTTTCATAATTTGCCTTCTTTTCGCACCTATGACATGACAATAATGCTGAAACATGACCGCAAGATTTTCTTGCTACGGGAATATTGATTGAAACAAGGATTAATACTGCACGAATTCTCCTTTCTTTTTGACATTTGTATATTCGATTTAGAGTCACACTATTCTAAAGTAACTCTAATTCATTAACAATTAGTGCTAAATAATGATTTATTTTGTGTAAACTCACTTCATTCAGGCTGGGCATAATTTCAAAAATTAGTAAATTTTCACTCTTGAATCAAATATCTCTTGAAAGATTACAAATTGTGGCATATAATACTCCAGTGCTATGGATTGTTCTGTCAAATGGTTGAAACCAATCCAAATTCAACATTAAGCCTAGATGTAAATCAGCTACATCAGGTCTGAAAAATTTTGGTGAAATTTCTGAATCATTTTCTTTAAATGTTTTTCAAACTTGTCCATCATATATGTCAGCCAATATGTTACTGAAACTTGTTTTATTGGACATATGACATAAATAATTTTTGAACCTTTGTCGATGAAATATAATACCAAGTTATTCTCGAATACTGACAAATAGATGAATAATTTTGGTTGAAAAAAATTTGAATTATCTGTTTTATGAGACAATGGTATATTACAAGATCGTAACCTGCAAATTGATGAAATTGGGAATTTGACATGATTGCATATCATAATCGATAAAGTATCATTCTGTTGAAAGTTCATCACTTCATTTCTATTGTAAAGTTTATGACATTTCGTATAAAATACGAAACTATGAAATCGGTCTTTAAGGCCAAGCGATTTCTTTACTAAATAAAGAGTACTTGGAAATCTATTAAACTTATCACCACCGATTTCAGTTAGAACTAATTTCATAAATTTTATAAGAGACTCCATTGCAGTCTCTGGTATGTTGAACCTAATTCGAAAGTTTATTATCCATAATAAAATCTTTGCAAATATATCATCAATCGTTACTTTCTCTTCTTTATCTTGATATAGTTCATATTTCAGCAGAGAATAATCTTTAAAAGTTTCAAAAATAAGTAAATTATCAGAAACACTTTCGTCTTTATTCATAGAAGATTCAATATGTCATTTTTCATTATGTTCACTATTCTCACTTAAAAAAGTCTCAGTATGTTGCTCATTCTCAGAGTTACTCAAATCATCAGTAACTTGTGAATGACTTTTATACCTTCTTGTACACTTTCGAGGTAAATTCAGTAATTTTAGATAACGATCAGTCATTTCATTTCTTAAAACTCGTGAATTATCATCAATCATTTTGCTTCTCAAATCTTGTGATTTGATTTTGGCAGGTGATCCAGTATTGAGTATCAATTCGTTAAAATTTGGATATAATTGTTCAATAGCAGAACCACCATCTGGAATTTAAATATGGCGTAATATTCCGTAGATTTACGATTTTTGTAATATTTCAGAGTATTACGTTGTAAAACTACGTAAGTTTACGAG